ACAGGGGATACTTGGCAGTGCAGGGTGGTCATAAAGTGTCTAATCCATGAATATTTTCCTTTCCACTTCAGTAAGGGCTGTTCATTTCTAATCCCGAGCTGGCAGAGCCAATGGATAAAGCTGTCTGAAGTTGCTGGAGTGAGTGTTCTCGTTCTGGAGACACTGATGTACCGTGTGTGCTCCTGTTCCTTGGGTTTAGCCTTGTAAAATGTAAACAGTTCCTGTCTGAACCAGACCAGATCCTGTTCCGAAAGATATGTTGCTGTTGTTTTCTTCAGGACTTGACGTGATCTTTTGGATGCTGGCATTAAGTAATTGAAATTTAGGCTGCCCAGGGAGATGGTTGAGTCCCCATCCCTGGATGTGTTTAAGAAAAGGGTAGATGAACTAATTAAGGATATGGTTTAATGGGAGATTAACGACGGTTGGACTGGATGATCTCTAAGGTCTTTTCCAACCTAGAAATCTATGAATCTATGAATTAGCCTGCTGAGCCCAAACATGCTGCATTTTCTAATGGTTTCCCAGCTCGTGCCATTCGTGAGAGGTCACACGAATGAGCGTGGCTAGCACTAAGATTGCACTAGCAATCCTCCATTCACTTTTTAATTCTCCTCTTCTATAATTCCGATTTAAGGAGGCTATCAGAACAAAAACATTGCAGTTGGGGGTACAAAAGCACTTCTTAAAATAAATGCTACTTCTTTTGTAGGCCTTACTAGCTCCTCTGCCCTTCTGAAACATGAAGAACAAACTGGTTGCCACAAAATCAGCTAACAGTGGGCTGGGAGTTCCTCACGGATCTTTTGGTAGCTAAGTCTTCCTGCGTTTGCCTTGAAAATTTAGTGTACTGTATGTAAAACACGACATACCTAGTAATTATTGCAGGGTGAGAGCTACCTCACCTTTTTCCCCTGCGAAACAAACCCGTTTTGAGTCCCTGTAGCTGCTGTTGACAGCAGTGCCCTTTGGGGGGGGGAAGCAGGAGCCTTGGAACGTTTTACTGGAGTTTTGAGCCACTTTACAGAGTATACATCACCACTCCTGATTTCACATGACCACACTGCTTGGCAACACGTGTGGAATGCTTCTCCGTTTACACCATGATCTGATAAGCAGTAGCTGCTTAGTGAGTGCTCAGATGATCGGTGAAACCAGTTTTGTGAAACTGGTGGTGGATGAGAGAGAGGTGGATTTCAGAGAGGTGGTGGATGCTCCATCCCTGGAGATGTTCAAGGCCAGGTTGGACGAGGCCCTGAGCAACCTGATCTAGTTGGAGATATCCCTGTTCCTTGCAGGGGGGTTGGACGAGATGACCTTTGAAGGTCCCTTCCAGCCCTAACCATTCTATGATTCTATGAAACAGCTGCTCTTTGTTTCCCACAGCGATGCCCAGGATGAAAGGCACACGGAGGCTGACGCATCGGTGTGATAAGCTGTCCTTTCATTGCGGGTTGAGGTGTGAGTCTCTGGGACACGAGCCATGCTTTTTCTGGAGGCTGGGAGAGTGTTTTGGGGAGATAGCATTGTGTGTTTGTGCTGCCCTTGATCTCTTCCCTGGCAGCGTGGTGTGGGTGGCTGCGGGGTGTTCGACTGGGATGACCTCTCGTCTCTCCCAGTGCCGCTGCTCAGCTGGGGAGGGGATGCAAGTATGGAGCATCCGCCCGCGATGGGTCACTCGCAAGGGCTGCGCTTTGGTAACCAAGTTAATGTTATTTTTCATGGATGGATTCAAATATTTCCCGACATCGGTGGTACTAATGGAATTTACATGAACCTGAAACCTTTCAAGAAATCCGTTTGCCAGGATCTTTCGTCTACTTCAGTGAAAAATCTGGCAGGTTTATTTGCCTCCACCCTGCATGTCTGTGTTTAGTAAATTTATAGTCAATGTACTTACAATTTGCCTAGAAAAAAGCAGTTTTTGTTCCTGATTGGAACAACTGGGCAAAGTTGTACAATCGTGTCAGCGTTACGTGTAGCTCGCTCCTTCTGCATATATTGTTTTGTCTGTGTGGGAAAAACAAGGTGTAAGTAATTTGTACAAGAAATATTTATTTACGAATTGAAAGATCTGTAGATTGAAGACGATGTTTTCTAGCTGGCTGATTGCAGAAGCAGAAATGCCGAGTTCTCATCTCCTCTTTTATCCCGACCAGGATAACCTGGAACAAACCTCTTCACCCACTTGGCGTCTGTTCTTTTTTCTCCTTTGTAAAGTCAAACTGGTGTCCCCCAGGGTATTCAGGTGATGAAAAGCCAGCACAGGGCTGAGTGTTATCTGTACTACTGCTGGGATTTAGGTCATGGTTCTTACTATATATCCAGCAATCAGAACTTTTTTCTTTTTCTTTGCAAAGCTTCGTATTTCCTGCCCTGATCTTACTAGATCATTTCATTCCT